CATCCACTTTACATTTATGCAAACACGCATTTTCCATATTTTTTGGTGGCAACAAGTTGTGTCTCTGAAATTTCTGACCTTGACTTGTGTTCCACACTGAAAAAACTGTCCATCTTACCAATTTTTAAAATCTTATATCAAGACAAAAAATATTTTAATCTTGTTTGGAGACTGATTTACTAAACAAGAGCTGATTGTGTAAGAATAATAACAATCTTGTTTTCAGAATGTGTAAGATTATTTGTCTTGTTAATCTGAAAATTTGACTTAAATTAAGTCAAATTTTTCTGCCAACGGACTAAGAAAATTTTACTTGGTAAGATTCTTGAAATACTTGATTTGACTCAATCTTTTCTTATTTCAAGAATCTTACCAAGTAAAATTTCTTACTTCATTGGCAGAAATTTTTGACTTACGGTAATTTGAGTCAAAATTTCAGACTAACAAGACAAATAATCTTACACATTCTGAAAACAAGATTATTATTCTTACACAATCAGTTCTAGTTTAGTAAATCAGTCTCAAAACATGATCAAAAAGACGTTTTGGATGATATAAGGTTTTAAAATTTGGTTAGCTGGACATTTTTTGCAGTGGGTCTTTTCTTAATGCTTTTAGTGCTTCAGCATATTGAGACCATTTCTGTCATTTTGACTATTTGTGCTTCTCTTGCTTCCTTTTATACTATATATCCACCATATGCTGCACTATGTTCTCCTGCACAGTTATAACATTTGATTTTAGCATCTTTGTCACACTTTCCAAATTCATGTGGCCCTCCACATCTTRGAAACCTAACTTTTCCTTTGCAGTGCTTTGCAATGTGTCCCATTCTTTGGCATGTAAAGCATCTGAGGGGTTTAGGGATATATTCTCTAACTCTGTGGTTCATAAATCCCATCTGAATATATTCTGGCATAATCTTTTCAAACTGTAAAATCACTGACATAGTGTCTCTCAGTACACCTTCTCTTTTGCTCTTTATTCTGGTTGCATCTGYTATTTTCCCTTCTTTGATTTCTTGTTTCACATCCTCCATTGTCATTTCAAGTGGGACTCCTGAAATTACTACTCTCAGCYTTGCTAATGCTCCTAGGATTTGTGTTTTAAATCTTTCCCCCATGGGAGTTTTCATTTTGATTATTTTCTCCTGTTGTGATTTGCTGACAGCTTGTATTGGCACTCTTCTGTTCATTAAGATCCTAGCTGTTTTAATTCTCCATATTTCTTCCTCTATTGCTTTGGTCAACTTAATTGGGTGAATAGAATGGAAGCAAAGAAACAAAAATRTTCGTTAAAGCGTTTGTTTTTGACTTTTTGTTAACTTCTTCTCTTGTCTCGATCTCTTTTGACCAACTTCTAGCTCTTTCTTGTCTCTTTCTAAGTACTCTTTTCATTTTTGATGATCTTGAAATCACCCATTCCATTTCATTCCCATTATTCCCTCCTGCTGTGGAAGCCATGTTGCTACAGTCAATGCACAGCTTATGCAATCCGCCAAAATCAAAATTCAAAATCCTACCGCCTTTGTTTGTTTGCCACATCCACCTGCCAACCTTGCCTGAACTCTCCACCGACCTCAGYGAAGAGTTCTTCTTCTTCTTCTTCTGTTGTTGTTTAATGGCGGTTGACAAACAACGTTTAGGTCAGGGGTGGGCAACCCTGGTCCTCGAGGGCCGCAGCCCAGCAGGTTTTATGTTTTTCCCTGCTCCAACTCACCTGATTCAGACATTAAATTACCAAGTTCTGCAGT